TTACATTTACTCATAAGTCATAATTATTTAAGACTATCAGGAGCCAAGAATATTGCTTCTGCCCATTTGGATATCATACAAACCAACTGATTCCACACCCAAACACTATGTGACATGATCAGATTGGGTGAAGGTTAATACAAGGTTAACAAATGTGCTTTCAGAGCTTGTCCAACAACATCAACTTTTATATTCTCTGATATTCTACAGCTGTGGGGAATTCAGTCTTTATGGTTAGAATCAATGCATTCGGGTAGTGAATGCTGAAAATGTTATCGTCATCATAAAATTGGTATCATTACAAATATATTAAAATTTCAAACCAATGCACAATTTCTAATTGCAAAATCTCACCTGTTGTCATGTTAATGGCTCACTTGTTATGAAGGAGTGGTTGACCCCCCCCTCTGATAACTAAAACCAAAACACCCAGGGAAGCTCACCTCATCTCGTAATCTATTAAAGGAGTGGTTAAATGAAAAAAATCCCTGATACTCTCTTTATAATCAACAAGTAACAATTTATCTACTTAACTCTAACAATTAACAAATTAACAGAACTACTAACAAACCGTACTGTTCCCCCTTAATTACTAACTATTCCTGAAATAAACAAAATTCTAATGGCATGCTTTCCTGTAGATACAAGTCCCACTTATATAAACTAAATTAATTAAAAAAAATTAAAGCTTAATTTCTCAAAATTACAGCCAGGATAAGTCTTCCAGAATGTTCTTTGCCTTCTCTGTCAGGAATGCCTTCCTCTGTTGAATTCTTGTGCCAGGGATATTAGTTAAGAATACTGTAGTACCTTTACTTAGATGGTGCTTACTCTGAGATCTTAGAGATTTCTGTGAGAGCCATTGATTTTCTCTTTCTTTAGAGCAGATGGTTGTTGAGAGTTGTTCTCTTAACAAATGACAGTTTGCTCTCACCCCGACTTTTGAATGCCCCTTTCTTTTATACCCTTGATGACCTATTGATTCTTATAAAAGAATTGATCTGAGATTGTCAAAACCATCAGATTTAAACGTAATTGGGCTTTCATATGTAGGGCCTGGTTTAAATTAATTGGCTAAATTCAAAAATCTGTCATCTTGGTAAAAATGCTGCTTTGCCTGCTAACAGTACAGCCTTTTGATATAATGTTTCAATTTCAAGAACTCTCTGTATATCTGCTGCTGCCTGCAGACTTTTTTTTAATCCTAAAAAACGCATCTTTTAAAGGATCCATACACTCTTCCCGCCATTTTACAAACAAATTCTAATGTCCTGCCTTCCAATCCACTATACCAACTCTGCAACACACTTTTGTATCAACTTTCTATTATGAGCCATCCCATTCAGTGGAAGATTACAGGATACTCAAGAGACAAAGCATGAACTGCAATTTTATCTGAAATTGTAGTCAGGCCAGGGAATCCCCCTGGAAATTCCCTTATTCCTCATTGCCCCAAAAATCCAACATTTCCATATTCCTAATGGTTTTTAGCAGTGGTACAATGTTTTGTAATGCCCAAAATATTAAGGAGATTGAATGATGAATACTATTTACCCAGGCATTTCTAAATACTTATGAATTTTGTTCTGAATGATGGATTGTAAGGGTTGTCCTATAATTGACATTAAGCAAACCTTGTAATAACTTCCTGATTGTATATTCTGTCTCGATCGCTAAATAGTCCCATTCTTCTTTATGTGTTTAGTGGTGAATTTTGTTTGATGGGGCTTCTGGGAACTATCAGTGGGAATTTTTACTGCACTGAGGTGCATTATAAATGCAAGTGGTTGTTCCTGGTTGAGGAAAATTGTGACCAAAATGTCCACTTTTTCCTAACTAATTTCATCAACTGAAGGTGGGTGTCACCATATCTTGACATAGTCATCTTTTGTTTCATTCTTATACAGAATTAATTTTTTGCTACAGTTTCCCCTTTCAATTTTGCCACATCCTCCTTTAGCATACTTTTGTTTTTACTTTAAACATCATTAGTAAAAGCCAAAGCAAAATACAGAATTGTTACTCCTAGAATCTTTTCAAACCCCACGGTTAGACTCGCTCTTTCAACCTTTGGTAGGTTTCATTAGCAATTAATTTTCAATGGTTTTGAAGTCTGGTACTATCTTCCTTTCTGTTGTTTGTAGGTCTTTCATCAGGTTCTCTTTTATCCATTTTAATCTCAGGTTACTTCTAACTACTACATGTTCAATATATCTCATGACAGCCTCTGGCACTGATAGCCCTAACTTTATCATTTTTTAAATTTATTCATTTTGTGGAATGTGGGCATCGCTGGCTGGCCAGCATTTATGGTCATGCCTAGTTGCCCTTGAGAAGGTGGTGATGAGCTGCTTTCTTGAACCACTGCAGTCACCTGCTGTGGGTTGAACCATAAATGCCATTAGGGAGGGAATTCCAGGATTTTAACCCAGCAACAGTGAAGGAACGGCAATATATTTCCAAGTCAGGATGGTGAGTGGCTTGAAGGGGAACTTGAAGGTGCTGACGTTCCCATTTATCTGCTGCCCTTGTCCTTCTGATTGAAGTGGTTGTGGGTTTGGAAGCTGCAATCTGAGGATCTTTGGTAAATTTTGATGGGTGGCAATGGCCTAGTGGTATCATTGCTGGACTGTTAATCCAGAGACTTAGGTAATGTTTTGGGGACCTGGGTTCGAATCCCACCATGGCAGATGGTGGAATTTGAATTCAATAAATATCTGGAATTAAGAGTCTAATTATGACCATAAATCCATTGCCAATTGTCAGAAAAACCCATCTGGTTCACTAATGTCCTTTAGGGAAGGAAACTGCCATCCTTACTTGGTCTGGCCTACATGTGACTCTAGACCCACAGCAATGTGGTTGACTCTTAACTGCTCTCTGGGCAAGTAGGGATGGGCAGTCAATGCTGGCATAGCCACCGATGCCCTCATCCCCTGAATGAACAAAGAAAAAAATATTTCTGCAGTGCATCTTGTGGATAGTACACATGCTGCCATTGAGTGTCAGCGGTGGAGGGAGTGGATGTCTGTGGATGCAGTGCTAATCAAGCAGGCGGCTTTGTCCTGGATGGTATCAAGGTTCTTGTGTGTTGTTGGGGCTGCACTCATCCAGGCAAGTGGGGAGTATTCCATCACACTCCTGACTTGTGTCTTGTAGATGGTGGACAGGCTTCTGTAGCCCTCCTCTTAAGTTAAAGTTTAGATTCAACTGCACCAAACTTCCATAAGATTTTTTTTACACTTCTACTTGCTTTGGGTAGGGCTTGGTGAGGCATCTCTAAGGTGGGTTCCTGGTTCTAGCCAGGAGAGTGAATAAGGTGTGTGAGTGGTGAACAGTACACTGCAGGTGTAGCAGCCTCTGCAAGGGTGTACGTTGGTCTCACCAGTATTGCTACCATTTTCTGCCAACAACAACAACATAATGCCTGTAAAAACTTGATTGTCCTGTCAGTTAATCAAAAGTAGTGCTCTCATTCACAACTTGAGTTCTTAAGTGAATCTGCTATTTATTCCAAATTTGGAGAACAATAATGACTCTTAATTAGCATGCTCTAACAATCTATTTCATAATGGTATCATCTTGTAATCCTCAGAAAGAGTGCACCTCTGATTTGCCATGAGTAGATACAAAATAAATGTGCATATGATATACTAATTCATCTTAGTCTCAAGCCGAACCAGGATATTTGACATTCACTTCAGTAGAATTGATACTAAATAATCACTGGTTTCAATGGAAATCTACACTTTGATTAACTGCTACATTGTATCATTAATTAGATGCTTACAAATAGATAGTCTCCCTTAATGTAATAATCAGCCTTCCTAACTCATACTTTGATTTAACATCGACAGATCTAGTGGATGAGGCTTGGCATTCTTCCTGATTCTGGGAGTAAATTTCAACCAGCAGTCAAATATTATTCTGTAGGGGATCCAAGCTCACGAATTGACTGTTACATAAACAACAGGAAGAGGAGGGTGATCAAGTCCTCCTCATTTCAATTGCTGCAAACTGGGATTCACTGCAGAGGTCTTTCTGGATAGGTTATTCAAGACAAAAGCCAACATGACATATATAACTTTTATCCCTGGACCTGTTACAACTGTATTATTTTCTATCAAGAACATGTTACAAACATTTCTTTCTACTGTAATATTACAAGAGTTCAACTTCAGAGTATATTCATTTTTAAGGTGAATGTCATGTACTTAAGATCCTTTTAAATATGAAAATAACATGGCTTTGCCTTAAAAAATATCAACATAAGACACAATTTTGAATTTCATATCAATAATTTCCTTTTGCCTTTCTAAATGTACTTAGACTGACAAAAAAAAGCTTTGTAAAGATTTTGAATGTAAAGCTTTCAATTGTTACTCCCATGCTATCTCTCAGTTCCCTGCTATTTTCCTTAATTTGCACAATCGGAACTTTTCCGCGCTATAATTTCTTCTCTTTACCATGTTTCATTCTATCATTATATATTTCGGATTAAAATTTCTAGGTGCCTAGTACTTCTCCTGACTTACCCTGCATTCTGGATAACTGATCCATATTTCAGTAGTTAGCACTACTACCTCACCGCGCCAGGCACCTGGGTTCGATTCCAGCCTTGGGTGACTTGTTTGCACATTCTCCCCGTGTCTGCGTGGGTTTCCTCTGGGTGTTCCGGTTTCCTCCCACAGTCCAAAGACGTGCAGGCTAGGTGGATTGGCCATGCTAAATTGCCCATAGTGTCTAGGTGGGAAATGCAGGGATGGGGTAGGGGGTGGGTCTGGATGGGATGCTCTTCGGAGCGTCGTTGTGGACTCGATGGGCTGAATGGCCTGCTCCAACAGTGCAGGGATTCTCTGAATTTTTTTTAAACTAAGACTGATATAAAGTGACCTTCTGAGTTATATGGCCTTATTTGCCTTTATCTACACTTCAAACCAATTTGAACCAATATAGAAATGTCAGAATAAATGTTTTTCTGTTCAACCTAGCCTGAACGTTCACGTTGAACCTAAGTCTCTTATTAAAGTGACTGTGTCGAATCTTAATATCTCTTCCGGGCTGCTCATAAAAATCCTAAAGAAATAAATCTTTACATTTTGGGTAGCTGTTCAAAAGTATAATTAATGTTTTAAACAATTTATAACTCTGTATCTGCAACATGGGAAAGTAAGCTTTCATTCTACGCTATCAGCCGAGTTTGTTAAGAGACGAGTTGTATTTCCAGTATACACTGTTCTACATTTCATTGTTTTAAGCAGGGCAATAGTTGATTGTTAGACGTTAATTCAGTCCAGGCAAATGTTGCACAGTTGAATTTTGCAAGTCAATTGTTATGTCAACAACCTTTCTGCTCCTATGATGCTGCTTGACCTGCTGTATTAATCCAGCTCTGCACCTTGTTGTCTCAGATTATTTCTTCTCGTTATTTTGGATTTCCAAAATTCCTTAATGATCAGATAGTAGTACATTCCATCCAGGCAACAGTTAACAATGGCCAAACACTGTGTGATCTGGAGAAAGCCTCGTAGATGGTCCAAGTATTCCTTCCAACAGTACTGCTTTGCTAAGAAGTACAATAGTATGGCTATGTGACAAGGTGTAAAGCAGAAAAGGAAGGTTACCAGATTTGAAGTAATAATATTCATAGAAAGTCTCATGTTCACATCATCTCTCTCTTCATGTACTCTTCGTAATGTTCTGATGATCTGAATACTACAGAAAGACACAGTAACTGCAGAAATTAAAAAGATAACTTCCATACTCACAGGAATGGCACCGTTTTCCCAAAATGCATCAAATTTTGCAAAACACTTTTTCATTGTCTGATTGTTTTCAGCTTGGATGTAATTTGGAATGCTTGCTGACCAGATACAAACCCACATCACAGTGCAGGCGATGACGGCTTTTTTTGGTGACCTGAGCATTTGTGCCAGAAAGGGATGTTTGATAGCGATGTAGCGATCCAGTGAGATCAGCGTTATTAACAGGATCGTCCCATAGGTGTTCACAAAGTACAGGGACTCCACAAACTTACAGAACATTAGTCCCAGGTGCCATTCATCTCCATTCATCTGCTCAGCATGGATTTTGAAAGGCAGAGAGAAAAGCAGAAATATGTCAGAAAAAATCAGATTAATCATGTAGATTGTAGATTCGATCAACTTCCGTATTCTGGTGCAGAGTATCCAGAGTGCAACCAAATTAATAATCAGGCCCAGGATGAACGCCGGTACGTGAACCACATACCGAAATGTTTTAAGGTCCGTTGTGCTGTTCACAATACACATATTTGCTTAGAATAACGTGACCGGTTGTATATATTGGTGAACAGTAACTCAATACGTTTACCAATGTCGGTGGTGTATGTAAACTTGCTACAATTTTCTATCTCTCTTACAAATCCAGGAATGCCAACATTTCCTCAATACGTAAAAAGGACCGACAATTCTTCGAGGACGAGACTTGCAGCCAGGCAGTTTTGGAGATTAACTCCGAATGCTAGGTTAACAGAACCGACCACATCCTGAACAACCTTCGTGCTAGATTCATAGTGGTGACATCGATAGAAAGTCAAGTTTATCTCAACAGAAACTGGCTGCTTCTCAGGATGAACGAGTGAATGTAGGTATTTTCTGTTCATTATTTTCCGCAAATTGCATAACATTTTGCTGTAAATTATAACTTTAAAGCATGAAAGAAGTTAAAAAGGTCATTAGGTCACGCCTCATGTGAGAATAGCACTTTAAATCAAAACCTGCTCTTCCCAGAATCATTACAAGAGTTATTGACTTCCCAAAGTAGGCAAAATTCCCACCTCCCTATTTTCTGCATATAAACTGACGTTTTCCCAGCCACCATCAGTTCGGAGGAAGGGTCACCGGACCCGAAACGTTAACTCTGTTTTCTCCTCCACAGATGCTGCCAGACCTGCTGAGCTTTCCCAGCAACTTTGTTTTTGTTCCTGATTTACAGCATCAGCAGTTCTTTTGGTTTTTATTAGGTCACGCCCCTTGTTGGTATAGCACTTAAAATCAAAACTTGCTCTTCTCAGAATCATTACAAAAGTTATAGCCTTTCCAAAGTAGGCAAAATTCCACAAATGATCTGTCATTTTAGACCCAGGTTAACAAAAAGCATGAACACATTTCTGAACTTAACAAGAATTGCTATTTATTACAATAGATTCTAGTGACAAATAAACAACTATTAAATGTTGACATAGAACCCAACTAGTTATAACACATGCAAACTGACTCAGAGAAATAAAAACGAAACATTATGGATGGAGGAAAAACCAGGAAGGCAGTTCAAAGTTCCCTGTCCACAGACTCAACCCACGACCTCCAGCTTATCCGTAAGTTTCAATTCCCTGGCCCCCAACACCTCATCTTCACCTTGGACATACAGTTGCCGTACACCTATATCCCCCACATAGAGGGCATAAAGCCCTCTGCTTCTTCCTCTCCTGTCAGCCCAACCAGTTCCCCTCCACTGACACTGTCATTCACTTGGCTGAACTGGTCCTCACTCTCAACAATTTCTCCTTCGATTCCTCCTACTTCCTACAAACCAAAGGGGTAGCCATGGGCACCAGCATGATCTCGAGCTATGCCTGCCTGTTTGTAGGATTTATGGAACGGTTCGTCTTCCACAATTATACTGGCACCATCCTTACGTCTTCCTCAGCTATATTGATGACTGCATCAGTGCAGCCTCGTGCTCCCGTGAGGAGCTCAAGCAGTTCATAAACTTTGCCAACACCTTTCAATCTGCACCTCAAATTCACCTGGACTTTTTCTGACACCTCCCTCCCCTTCCTGGATGCCTCTGTTTCCATCTCCAGAAACTGACTCATCACCGACATCCATTTCAAACACATTGACTCCCACAGCTACCTCGACTACACCTCTCTCGTCCATCCTTCTGCAAAAATACTATCCTATACTCCCAATTCCTCTGCCTCAGCTGCATCTGCTCCCCAGGATGAAGTGTTCCACTCCAGGACATCCCAGATATCCTCTTACTTTAGGAACCATAACTTTCCCTCCTCGATAATTTGGGATGCCCTCAACCGCATATCCATTTCCCACATGTCTGCCCTTTAACTCTGTCCCCCCAACAGCAATAAGGATAGCGTCCCCTTAGTCCTCACATACCGTCCCACCAATCTCTGGATCCAATATGTCATCCTCCGACATTTCCACCACCTACGATCAGTCCCCACCACCAAAATGATATTTCCCTCCCCACCCCTGTCTGCTTTCCACGGGGACCGTTCATTCCATGACTTCCTCGTCAGCTCTATACTCCCCAACAACTTCTTCACCACACCCGGTACCTTTCCCTACAACTGCAAGAGGTGTAACACCTGGCCCAAGACCTCTCCTTCACCTCTGTCCAAGGTCCCAAAAAAATCCTTCCAGATCTAGCAGAGATTCATCTGCACTTCATCCAACCTGATCTATTGCATCCATTGGTCCTGATGTGTTTTCCTCTATATGGAGGAGACCAAATGCAGACTTGGGGACTGGTTCGCAGAATATCTGCTCTCTGCACATAAGAATCAACCCGATCTTCCAGTTGTCATCCATTTTAATTCCATTCCCCCACCTCCACCCCCCCACAACCACCAGCATCCCCCCCCGCTCCCGCCCCCCTACCCACCCTCCTCCCCTGGTGACATGTCCATCCTTGGCCTCCACCATTGTCAGAAAGAGGCCAAAAGTAAACTGAAGAAACAACACCTGCCATTTCGCCTTGGAAACCTCCAGCCCAATGGCCTTAACATTGACTTCACCAGCTTCAAAATCCCTCCACCCCTAACCTCATCCGATGTCTAGACCTCCCACTTCTGACTTGACCTGACCTGACCTGACCTGACTGAACTGTCCATCTTCCCACTCACCTATCCACTCCACCCTTCCAACTGACCAATCACAATAATCCACGACCTGCATCCATCTATCACCATCTCTCCTACGCTTCCCACCACCTCACATCCCTCCCTCTATTTATTTCCAGGCTTCCCTATTCCTCCCCAGTCCTGATGAAGGGTTTCTGCCCAACACGTTGACTTACCTGCTCCTCGGATGCTATCTGCCCTGCTGTGCTTTTCCAGCCTCACATCTACAGACTCTGACTTCCAGCATCTGTAGTCCTTACTATCTGTGGGTCTGCTAAATGATCCTTTTAGCTTTCCAGGATGTGCTGCGCCTTGATCTTGCTTTACTCGGTACTTTCATTGCTTTCACAAGGCACAGAGCATCTAGTTCACAAATTATGAAATCTCTGACTTATTGGTTAAAAGCAATAGATTACAATCCCTGGTGAGGGAAAATAAATTGGTTTGCTTCAGGCTTTAGACACTTCTTACTGCATAGAAAAGGACAACGCCCTCTTCCATTTGTTCATTTTGTCGTAGTATAGTCATAGTATTTTGTTCACACCCATTAGATGATTAGTTATATGGAATCCAATCATGTTGTTGGCAGACCATAGTCATTGACAATTGATCATCACTCCACAGACCAGTCATCTAACTGTTTTCAGATGAATCTCACTTTGTATACATCCCCCTGGCGTGAGTTCATGAGCAACTAACCTTTCCCCACTAATTGAACAAATGATGGTTTAAACTGTACTTACAATAAATGCTCATAGATGCTTTTAAGAAGTGCAGTAATCATTTCCAAAATTCTTGCTTTTTGAATCAATGCTTTTGCCAAATACAGAAAAGATAACAAAGAAGAAATTACCTTTCCAATTATCAGTCACTCCCATGTACCTTAGTATGGGCAACATAAGTAGCCATGTCGTGCAAACTCACATCAGACAGAGAACTTTCAAGCTTATGTGTTCTCGACAAACTGATATAACTTCAACCCAGAGTGATGCACTTGACAATTGTCAGATTTCCATGTTGACTCTTGTCTTTCACTGACCCCTGCTGGAAGATATATGTGTACGTTAGCAGATCGGAGGATTAGGTCTGAATGAATGAACGAATGGCATGTTGAAACATTGAACTGGACATTAGTCTAAGGGTATATCTTATCCAGAGTGCGGAGAAGCCTGGGGAAATGCTGGGGTGTTGAGAAAGTTTGAAGAATTAGTGTCTCAAATGTCCTTGTGAATTTAACTGTAGGATTTATGAAATTTGTTTTGTTCTCTGTGCTTCCAGCCTTGTAGCAACCTGACTGATAGACAGCAGGTCTTCAGTGTGGGATATTGTGGTAAACTGAAAGATGGGTAAATGTACCAGGACTAACTTTGAGATAGTTTGCAGTAACCTTTTTTAACTCAGGCACGTTATGCAGTGAAATAGATACAGGGGGCAATATTCAGGGAAGGTCCAACACAACTTTATTGAACACCAAGGAAAAACAATAGTTATCAAACCCTACTATTGTACTTTGTTTAAATTCCATCAAACTCTGTAAGCCCCTTCACAGTACTCTTCAGTAAATGGTAAATCTCTAAGTAAACAGTCTCAAACTTATAGCAGCTATCTACTTTTGATATCAGCTTTCTAGGATTTGCTAGATTCTACCTACAGGTCTGTACCATTGAATTTAAACTGATGTTTCAGGACCAGCAGCCATCAATTTGGGTTTCCTGTCTCCTGTAGGGCTGGTTCTGGTCTTCGACTCATCTCACTGAGGTGGTCTCTCTGGAGATGCTGTTCGAATAGTTGCCAAAAACAGAGCACTGGAGCTCCAGGTTGCCCTTTTTTCTACCACCCTTTGTGCCCTTTTTGAAGATTCTGTGGCCTGTGTCTTTACTAGCATTGGGCAGGGCAGGAAGATCCAATGAGGTAACCACTTTTCATATTTGAAAGTTGCCGAACATGATTTTGAACTGTCCAACTGTTAAGTACTGTCCTTGTTACACTGTGCCTCTGGCCTCCTACTAAGCTGGGTTTCATTAAGTCCGCGTAGCATTCTTCTAACATAGGGGTTGCGGGAAATATAAGCAACAGTTCATTCTGAAAAAATGTGGCGGTTGAAACCTGCCAAGCAGCTCGAGGCCATCTACTTTCAATGGAAGATTGGTTGTCCAAGGCCTAACTGCATGAGTACTATCTGTTCTATGTCTGTTCCAGAGGACTTTAGAACAACCCATATACTTCCTTTGTTTGAGAAAGGTGACAGAGATAATCCAGGAAATCACAGGCTGGTGAGCCTTGAGTCAGTAGTAGGGAAATTACTTGGAGAAGATTGTTAAGGATAGAATTTAATCATGTTTGGAAAAAATATGGATTTATTAGTAATGGGCAGCATGGTTTTGTGCAGGGAAGACTGTGTCTCACAAACTTGTTTAAGTTTTTTTGGGGAAGCGGAAAAGATGATTGATGAGGGCAGGCT